AGAGAGAGAGAGAGAGAGAGAGAGAGAGAGAGAGAGAGAGAGAGAGAGAGAGAGAGAGAGGCTGTGGATGGGGCTAGAGACTCACCGTAAGGCATCCCATCAGGCTTTGCTCGAAGGGGCGCTGGAAGGCTCGGGGGTCGCCGCACCAGTCCAGCAGCTCTGTCGCTGCTGTTTGGAAATTTGCTGGATTTTGTAAGTGCTGGAAGGGGGAAAAAAAAGAGAAAAGTTGTGAAATTTGTGGAGGACAGTCAGTTTTCTTAGAAAAAAAGTTTTAACTTTACTCTGTAAAAAATATTTTCTTACAAAATGTTTCCTTCATACTATGAATTTTGTACATTTAATTGAATTTATAATTATTACAGTGTTGAAGTGGCTGTTTTTAGCTTTATTCTGACTTGAAAAACAAATGATTCAACCCAAAAAGTGATYCATGACATTGATAAAATGGTATGAAAATACCCAATCAAATATAGGTATGAATCTTGGCCTACAAATTAGCTATGCTGATTATTGCCTGACATAGAAAAGTGAAGGTAATAATAATAATAATGCTATTGTTCATAGCTGTCTGTGTCTGTGAACAAAATATCTCCCAAATAACTAGAGACGTATTAAACAAACTTTTAGAAAATAAAAATATGATCTGCACTCCTTTAAGAATTGATAGGCCTTAAATCTAGTTATATTTAGAAATAAAAACTTACACTTTATATAAATTCAATACTTAATTTCCACTTTTAAGAATTTAATGACTTCACTTTATAGATTTTGTATTTAATTTGAAATCTAAGTAGTTTGGAAAATGAGGGGGAAAAAAATCCCATTACAGATTTTCCAAGAAAATGTGTATTTTACCACTGTGGAATAACTGCATAGTAGGGTTTAGTCTTGTCAGTCTAAGCTGAAGTGTCTGTACTGTCCTCAGGTTTGTGCAGCATGTTCCTGCACAGAGTGCAGAAAATCTCTCTGCATGACTTCATGAACAGACAAGAAAGCCCTCAGTTCAGCAGCCGTCCCCGTTCTGAGCTGTGACTTTCTCTGACAACACACTCCTTGATCCGCAGACGCTCCTTTCCTGCATTAATTTCCCCTCCTGGAGCCGGCAGCCCACTCTCTGACCCTGCTTGCTGTCTGTGCTTTGCTGCAGAGCGGCAGCGAAGACAGAAAAAAATTCGTCTTTGCATCACAATTGGTCATCTCATCTTTTAAACCTTTCAAAAGTCAATACGAATCAATTTATACACAGCAGAGCGTGCACGCACGCACACACAGGCAACACCTCCACTCTGCAGTAATCTGGTGCCTTTGGGGAGATTATGCACACAAGCCTTTGTAGTGCACTTGTTCAAAACAGGAACAAATGGACTCCCACTCCATGGCATCAAAGGTAAATAGAGTGGTTTGTCAGCTTAAAGTGAATGGCTGCCTTCTTAATACGTCTGTGTGCTTTGATTTCACTGTCAGAGAGGAAGAGGCGGAAGCGGCAGCAGTACAGTGCTTTTTTCTTGTTTGCTCTTTAGGGGGCAGCAGAGGTCAGGATTCGATAAGGCTGCTTTCATATCAGCTTATAAAGCTGGCGTTTGACAGAGTGGGTGGGGGCGGGGGGGTGAAACCATGCTAGATTATTTTATGCTTTGTCTGAGATTGCTGCCTGCTGTTTGAGATGTTAGAGTAAGATGTGGCAGAGCATTTAAATCTCTATTGGTGGGTAGTCTCACACACATCCAGGGAAGCTAAATTTAGATGAGTCTGAAAGCGAGACAACACACGCAATCAGCACACTAAGGATAGAAAAAAAGGGGGAGGGAGGAGGAATATGTAGAAGGGAGGGAAAAATACACAGCAACACCACTTGGGTTAGAAGTGATTACTGTTCTTTGCACTCAGAACAATTGGTCCCACCAGAGTGACTGTCACACAGGGTGCTTGGCACTGCCACGCCACAGATGTTCCCCTCCTTATGGCCAAAACCCACCAATCAAACCTAAACTAGTGGCCAAGACGACCCCCCCTTTACCCCAATCCCCTGGGTGAGAATGACTCAACATTCATGCTGCAGTTACAGCTCAGCCCAGATCAAGTGAAACAAAGATGGACAGGACATTCAGTGTCCTGAGAGCACAGCTTTGTTCAGATCCCATCGTCCTCTGTAGTCACGCCTGGAAACAGCTCGCACATCTGCAGCCTAACTCCAAGTGACAGTGCATGTGATCTGGCACACACACACTCCCTCTCCATTGAAAAATCACAGCTTTCAATTTGCTGCTGCATTCACAGACGCCCCAGAAAACGAGCAGGAAGGGGGAAAAAAATAAAAACATTAATGGAGACAATTAACCCTTGGAGGAATGCAGCAGCGAGACAAAAACAGCTGCATGGTCGGCGCGGCAGCCGCACAGAGCGGCTCCGGTTTAGTTTGAAATATCGACGCCGAGATTCCGAGGAAGTGCTCCCGCAGCGAAAGGACGGCTCCCAGGTTTCCGCCGGGGCCCTGGTATGTATCACCGAGAGTAGAGTCTGACAGCAAAACTGGTTTCACAGGGTGAGAAGAAAATAGTATCTCTGAAATAGATACCAGCAGTATCAGGCAACCTATCTTCCCCTCGAAGTACTCACCACGGTGCAACACTGAGATGCGAGAGAAAAACAAACTGTCACAGAAAATATGTGTCGGGCTGGAGTCAGATAGCTGGTTTTAGCATCCTTGACTGTTTAGAGGTTAACCAGTAAGTATAGATTTTTGTTCGGTTGCTTGCTTCCTAAAGGCTACATGACCAAAACGGCTGCATTTATTCCTTCAAAGAATGCTAGGTGTTTAATTCCAGGTGTTTTTGGTCAAGTTATTGTTTCAAAATCCTTTTACTAACATTTCATAATGCGGAAGTAATTTAAGTATTTCCAAAGCCATGATTTTTTTGATTTAGCTTTCAAGCCATGATTCAATCATGTCGGCAGGTCCCAATTTCCCTCCACTTTATCATGGCGCTCAGCAGTAATTCATCATTTGAGCAACAAAATCAATTTGTTACCCTGTCCTGCTGCACTGGCTGGGAGTAGTCAGACGGACATGTCACATCYCCCGGAAAACAATCCCACAATGGAGGAGGATTCATCTGTATTCCTGCTCCACGCTCCTGGAGGAGCCACATTTCGGCATGCGCACACTTTCAATTAAAGCAAACAGCTGGATTGGTTTACAATATTTCCTTAATGATTTTAATAGCTGGGATATTGGACAATGGGGAGCAGGGGGAGAAGATAGTGAGTTAATTGTTCTGATCTCCCCTGATGATCATCTTTGTGAGCGGGGAGGAGAATAGACGGCCGGCTGAATGGGCTCGCTGCTAGTCTAATTGGCAGGACATAAATGGTATTTATTATGCGGGCCTTCCAAATCCTGATTGTCTGCAACACAAAGCTGCCTCTATTAGCAGGGTGCGGGCTCTTGCTGGTCGATTTGAAATGACCCCGTGCTTAACCATTTATTAGATAGACTGGAGGCCTACTTGTGTGCTATGGATCTCTCTAATTGGCATGTTTACCCATGTCCTGCCTCCTCAGGCGCTAACACTGGGATGGATTTGTTTAAATTTTTGTCTTGTGGGGTTAATACATTTAACCCCGCAGCATTTKAACTGTGTAAACTGTTGTTAGATACATTCAAACCCTTTTTGCACTTCTGTGAACCCTCTTTAAGAAACTATCCCCACCTTCATTACAGCTACAGGAGTGGATATTGAATTATTTAACACCCTGCTGTGAAGAAGGTAACCAGACTTGAAGACAGGCAGTATTTACTTCTCTTTGCCTTATTACTCAAGAACATCAAAGCTACAGATACTGTAGGGGCTTCCTTCTGATTGCTCCTTAAACATTCACCCTGTCATTGTCTCAAGCTCCCTGCTGCGGGGAAAACGACTTGCCACTTCCACGTTCAGCGCCATATACCGTCTCAAAGGCTTTCTTTATGTACTTTCTGAGGGAGGAGGACCTCAGCACCCAGCCCGGAAACAAAACGCGCCGTCAGTTTAGGAGAGGAGATCAAAGGGAGAGCCCCGTAGCCTGGGGTTACACAAGCATGTCTGTTTAATTCTGCCAGTGATTCGTCCCGCCGTAAACGGTGGAGAGAAGGGAACAAAAGGACTGGCCCGGAGTCGGCAGTGGTCGGGAGAGGGAGAGAGGGGTCATAATGACGGGGGAGGGAGGGGACCCTTTGCTCTTTGACCCTCCGACACCCCCCACGCTCCGTAACCCGAGTCACAGCAGAGTCCTGATAATGGGGCTGAACAGATTAGTCACTTTACTTTGGTCGGAGGAAGACTGAGAAGCTTTCTGACCCTGATGATAGATTGGTACTCTGAAAAAAGGAAGTGAGGCTGTTACCAACCTTTTTTTTGGTTCATTTCTTGACACAGTTGGAGTGTAAGGAGTTGAGTATTTGTCTGAAGCCAGAGGGGAGAGTGTTCTACCTAAGCTGTAGAACAGTTCATTAAAACTGGATTTGCGAGGTCTAAAACCACTTGTGTCTGACAAAACCACCCTAAACACAACTTTTACTGAAACACTAAAAATCGATCACAAACATGAACATCACAGTGAAAAATCCACTTAAAAGACACATATATCAACAAACTTGCCCAGTTATTTTCTTGTAATTAAACAGTATTTTTTTTAAATTGTTATCAGATTTTTCTAAAAATACATAATTTTTCATCTGAAAATTTCTATTTTATATACTATATTTCATCAAATTGGAGCATATTATAGCCTTAAACCTTATAAAAATACTTTAAAAGATATGATTCATGTTTCAACTTTCCCTTAAAGATACCCAACTAGGCTGGCCAAAAACAAACAGATAAAAAAATCCACAAATTCTCACAATATTTTCTCATATTGATGGTTAATGAGCTGCAAAATTAGGAATTTGTAAGCAAAATTCGTGACTGAATGCAAGCTACTGTCTGTTTGTTTACCTAATGAAACAGCTGAAGTGACAGAAACTTGGTTAAAAATTTTGACTTGGAATGAACAAGTCCAACAATGTGTTAGTATATATTTATATTTATATTCAGATTTACTGAGTGAAGTATAGAGGTAAACGTGTTTTGTGTACTTTGAGTGCACACCTGCATTTCAGAACACATTTGGAAAACTACTGGAGTAAACTATTTCAAATTGCACCAATCAACGTGGTTCAGGTTAACATTTTTTTAGGCTTGATTTCATAATATGCAGGGAATTTGTTTAATATTCCATAACAGTAATAGGGTTGGACATAATCGTATCGTGTGCAATTAATCGTCAGAAAAACATTAATCGATTAATTTTTGGCAGTTGACAATTAATACGATTAATGCCACCTGGCAGACTAACCGCTTGGTGTTCCTCTCTGATTCAAACATGACCAACGTTAAAAAAATGTGTGATTTATTTATCTATCAACACTATTTAAAGTTTGATGTATAGCCTGAAGTCTGTAATTTTGACACAATTTGGAACAGGTTTTTACGAAGAGCCAATTTTCTCCCTATAAATTGGTCATGTGACTAGGACATAAGGGTGTCCAGGAATTCCGGGGGATTAATCGTCAAATTAATCGCTATCGGCTAAATATCACAATTAATCGTGATTTATTTTTTTGCCAATATTGCCCAACCCTAAACAGTAATCCCAGAATCCATTTAAATCAGAAAGCTGAGACAGAACACGTTTTCGTGTGCGCCTCACCTGTTTGATACACTGCAGACGGTCATTGGTCTGCTGGATGTGTCTGTCCATCGACGGAATCGAGTTCATGTTGATTGTCCCCGTTTGGCCTCTATCTGCCAGCCATTAAACTGGAGAGTTCTGCAACAGAAACACAGACAATTGTTAAAGGCTCAGCTTTTCCATAGGGAGACTGCCAATAGCCTCACCACCAGGACACTGCTGCTGCTGTTGTGTGTGTGAGTGTGTGCGCGGTGCTGTGAGCTGCGCAGGGAGATATTGATTTGGCAGGTGACAAGCACCTCAAAGAGCCCAAAGGATGACATTCCTCTCAGCTCCTGTGACACCCTTAACAAGCCCTGGCGGTTGCCCCCTGAACGCTGCCACAAACCTTTGGAAACGACAAGCTGGACTTAAGACAGGATGTCTGGTTGTGTTTAAAACGCCTCTGGGTGAAAATGAACCGGGGTGGAGGAGCACAGATGCACACGTAGTGCGTCAAACCTCACAGTCTGTCAGCATTATCTGAGGAAACCGTGTGAGGCTCTTCCATCCTGCTCTGTGAGAACATTAACTTGGCATGTGCTTCTCTGTTTACATTACTTAGCCGTTATGTAATCTTTGGTTAACAATTATCTGTACCCTGAGCCCAGGCATGCTCTACATACCCCCCCAC